TAAAAAACTATATATATTAGTTGACCAATTAATTTCTTTCTATTTTTTAGTAGAGACAGGGTCTCGCTCTTGCTCAGGCTGGTTTCGAACTCCTGACCTCGAGTAATCCGCGCGCCTTGGCCTCCCAGAGTGCTAGGATTACAGGCGTGAGCCTCCGGGCCCGGCCCTAGATCCTAAACTTTGGGGGAATCTCCCACATTTCCCCAAAGAGTATTTTTGTATTGTTTTGTTTTGCCAGAGCCAAGAGCAGCTTTCTGGGCTCAGACCACACTACCCTTGAGCTTGGCTCCTTGGCATGCTGGGTACTTTTGAGCTGAAAGAGGCAGAGAAAGTCACCCTCTGACCTTCTGCCAAACTCCTGTATCCACTTTGTCCCTCAAAGCAGGCCATATAATCTAGAAAGGTCAACCTGTGACTTACCTCCTCTCAAAGTAGGTCATAGGACCCATAAGTGACATACCTCCTTCCTCATACCTAGAGGAAAGGAATGCTACACAGAGAGGCCAAGAAGAACCTGGGCAAAAAGGCCTTGTTGAGCTCCCGCCTGATTTATTACCATTAGGTCATATACCTTTTTGTTTAGTCACATTTCTGCATAACTATGCACTTCTTTCATTAGACTTAGCATAGAAATATACATCTTTCCCTGGGTCTTTATTTCTGAAGGCTTCTATGTCATGTACAACTTTGCTAAATAAGTTTGTTATGCTTTTCTTTTGTTGATCTATATTTTGTTATAGGGGTGTCAGCCACGACTCTTGTCAACTGAAGAATCAGGGGTGCTGCTAAACATTCCCTCACAACAAAAAAACATCTGGCTCAAAGCGTTAGTAGTGCCGAGACTTAGAGAACCTACTGTAACTGCCAATTGAAACATGAAATGAAATGAAAGGCTTTCCAGAGGTTTCCGTTTAACTCTTGGAGAAGAAAGCCTAACAGCAGTGAGTGAGGGAAGGAATAATGAGGCATGTCCAGCCTCCCAGGCCATCATGGCTGGGTTTTCAGGTTTTCAGGTTTCTCTAGAGTCCCTTTGTAGGGGTGCTTAGGACTTTTTTATTTCTCACAACACATCTGGGGCACCTGCTGTGTGAGGTCTCACCAGGAAATGAGTGTAGCTGAAGAAGAGAGGGGGACGGAGGCTTGTGGTTCTCCAACACACCGAAGTCAGGACAGAGGACCGAGGAGGGGCCAGTGAGGAGGAAAGAACGCAAGAGAGTGTGACAGTACCAGAGAAGGAACAGTGTTTTAGGAAGGGGGAAGGAAAGTGATCAATAATAACAGCACCACCTAACATTTATGATGCCAGAAAATTTTCCAAGGACTTTAATTAATTAAGCATTTACTGACTCTGTCAAGTAGGTAGTCCAGTTCATAGATGACAAAACCGAGGCACAGTTCTACAATGTTGAGTGCTGGTGAAAAGTTGCGTAGAGCAAGGGCGGAGACCTGACAGTGGGGTCTGACGAAGTGGAGGACGTTGCTGACTGTGACAAGAGAGGTTTCAGAAGAATGGAATGATGGCAGTAGAAATCTCATTAGTGTGATTTAAGGAGGAAATAGGTGATGACCAAGTGGAGACATAAAGTGAAAACACTTCTCTTTCTTTTTTCTTTCTATTTTTTTAGAGACAGGGTCTTGCCATGTTGCCCAGACTGGCCTTGGACTCCTGCCTTCCCAGTAGCTGGGACTATAGACATGCACCACCATGACTGGCTCTTTCTTTTTTTTTTTTTTTTGAGACAGAGTCTCACTTTGTTGTCCAGGCTAGAGTGAGTGCCGTGGCGTCAGCCTAGCTCACAGCAACCTCAATCTCCTGGGCTTGAGTGATCCTTCTGCCTCAGCCTCCCGAATAGCTGGGACTACAGGCATGCCACCATGCCCGGCTAATTTTATTATAATATCAAGTTGGCAATTAATTTCTTTCTATTTATAGTAGAGAGGGGTCTCGCTCTTGCTCAGGCTGGTTTTGACTCCCGACCTGAGCAATCGCCCGCCTCGGCCTCCCAAGAGCTAGGATTACAGGCGTGAGCCACAGCGCCCGGCCTGGCTCTTTCTTTTTTAAAGAGGAAAAGAAATAGTAGACAAAGGAAAACATGAGGTCTAAAGAGGATCATTTATTTCCTTTTTTTTTTTTTTTAAAAAGAAAGATCAGCAGTTTGTTTTGCAGAATAGTCAAATACAGATCAAAAAACTTTTTATTGCTGGGCGCGGTGGCTCACGCCTGTAATCCTAGCACTCTGGGAGGCCGAGGTGGGTGGATTGCTTGAGGTCAGGAGTTCAAAACCAGCCTGAGCAAGTGTGAGACCTCTCTACTATAAATAGAAAGAATAATTGGCCAACTAAATATATATAGAAAAAATTAGCGGGCATGGTGTGCATGCCTGTATCCAGCTACTCGGAGGCTGAGGCAGCAGGATGTAATGAAGCCCAGGAGTTTGAGGTTGCTGTGAGCTAGGCTGACACCATGGCACTCACTCTAGCCTGGGCAACAAAGCGAGACTCTGTCTCAAAAAACAAAACAAAACAAAACAAAACAAAACTTATTATTCAGGAAGGTGATTAGAGTAGTGTCGAAGGAAAGTACTTGGCGAGAAGATGGCATTCCATGGACAGTGAGAGGGCTGGACTTAGAGTGGAGCATTGGCAGGTTGTTCAGTGTAACAGGAAGGAAGGCAGAGCAGGCAGCTATAGGCAGGAGTAGGCTGGTAGATTCTGTACTGATAGGATGAGGTCATTTTATCTAATTGTATCTTTTTTTTACAGTGAAATAAAATACATTATCAGCTATGAGTGAGGCAGAGGAAGAGTGTTGGTCTGAGAAGAGAGAAAATAGTGTATGTGAAACAGTTGCTTAGGAAAGTAGGCAAGTGAAATAACTAGGTGCTGAGGTCCCACCTGATATTTGTGGTAACAAATTTATTTAATTAATCAATTATTTATGTATTTATTTTTGAGACAGAGTCTCACTTTGTCGCCTGGGCTAGAGTGCCGTGGCGTCAGCCTAGCTCACAGCAACCTCAAACTCCTGGGCTCAAGCAATCCTCCTGCCTCAGCCTCCCGAGTAGCTGGGACTACAGGCATGTGCCACCATGCCCAGCTAATTTTTTTTACATAATTTTAGTTGGCCAATTAATTTCGTTTTATTTTTAGTAGAGACAAGGTCTCGTTTTTGATCAGCTGGTTTTGAACTCCTAACCTTAAGCGATCTGCCCGCCTCAGCCTCCCAGAGTGCTAGGATTACAGGCATGAGCCACCTCCCCCGGCCTGTGGTAACAAATTTAGAGAGCGTTCAGGGAGAGTAGGGAGGGAAATTGAACGTGAGGGTGACTTTGCATTGGCATGAGTTTTTTGGAGATCGGATATTTGTCAGAGGAAGGAGGGGAAATGGTCTGGAAGTTGGAAGGGATCAAGGAGAAATGTCATGTGATCTACTCTCAAGTCCTGTGACACATGAGATGTAGGAGAAAACACATTCCCTTCTAGACAGGGCTGCAGGGGAAGCAATTCTCAGAGGGAAACCATGTTCCAGTTAAAGTAGGAAAGTAAGGGAGGAAGAAGTTAAGGGTAGGGGATTTTGCTGATGACAGAGTGAATTTACAAGGACACAGTACAGTAGAAGGCTTTGGAGCACCTGGGAGGGGTGGGAGCAATTGGATCAGATTGAGGAATGTACAGAGCTTTATGTGAATCTGCAGGATTAGAATTTGGGTGGTGACTGTGGTAAATAGGGATTAGCTTTGATTGTGTTTTATTTTTATTTTGGGGGGTAGTCTTAACATTTTTTGTTTAATGTACAAATGTAGTACTATTCACCCTTTTAGTGCATATACTGAGTTTTGACATATGCCTACAATTGTGTAGTCACTGCCACAATCAAGATGTAGTTCCAACATTCCAAAAACCTCCCAGCGTCCCTGTGTAGTCAACTCCTCCTCACTCCCCAGTTCCTGGCAACTACTGATCTGTGTTCTGTAGCTGTTTTTGCCTTCTCCAGAATGTCATATAGACAGTATGTAACCTTTGGAGTTATAGTGATACTACTGGTATTAGTAATTTATTCTTTTTTATTGTTGACTAGTATTGTATGATATGGATATGCCACTGTTTTATTCACCAGTGAAAGGGCATTTGAGTCGTTACTGGTTTTTGTTGATTACAAAGCCCCTGTAAACATTTGTATAAGGTTTTTGTGTGAATACATGTTTTGATTCCACTTGGATAAATACTTAGGAATGGGATTGCTATTGTAAAGTAAGCAAAACGTTAACTTTGTAACTGCTGAACCGTTTAGCAGAGTGATTTTAAGTTCATTTCTTTTTAACACTCATTGAGGAGTTACCATGTGCTAGGAGCCCAACGGGATGGAATGGAGTAGTTATGACAACACATTTATTTCATAGAATTAGACTGTTTAATTAGGCATTATAATAAAACTTTTGTCTTGAGGCTGGGCGCGGTGGCTCACGCTTGTAATCCTAGCTCTCTGGGAGGCGGAGGCAGGGCGGATCGTTTGAGTTCAGGAGTTCGAAACCAACCTGAGCAAGAGCGAGACCCCGTCTCTACTATAAATATAGAAAGAAATTAATTGGCCAACTAATATATATACAAAAAAATTAGCCGGGCATGGTGGCACATGCCTGTAGTCCCAGCTACTCAGGAGGCTGAGGCAGAAGGATTGCTTGAGCCCAGGAGTTTGAGGTTGCTGTGAGCTAGGCTGACGCCACAGGCACTCACTCTAGCCTGGGCAACAAAGTGAGACTGTCTCAAAAAAAAAAAAAACTTTTGTCTTGAAATAGACGTAAAAGTGTTTTTAAGTTACTGGGAAATGTCTTGTTACCTAATGCAACGTACAAAAAAGATGCATGTTTTCAATTTCCCATAGTCATTGAAAATTGAGCTCGATACTTAAAAAGGGTAAAGATGTTCCCCAAATCATTGTATTTTCACACAATTCTTCATACATCACATAATTTGTCCCAAGAGTACATGCAACAGACACATTTTAGGAGGATAGGAGGGGCATTTCTCCCTCCCAAGAAGAGGCCTGGCCAGTAGTTGGGCTTCCAACGTTGTGCGCTTGCGCAACGCGTTCCGTTGGCGCCCGGAATGCGCAGGCGCTCCGGCGCCGGCCTTTGCGGGTGGGCGGGGCCTGCACTGGCGTCTCTTCTTCCAACTGCAGCCTGTGGCAGCGCCATTTTGAACGTGCGGCTGCCGCGGGCGAGAATCGCGGGAGGCAGGGCTGCTGGCGCGCCTATCTTGCCGTCTCCGACTCTTCTCCGTTTCCAAAGATACACGTAGAGACGTGTACGTGTATACAGGCCGGCCCGTATCCGGTGTCCGAGGCGAACTCCCTAAGATGATGTTAAGAGGGAACCTGAAGCAAGTGCGCATTGAGAAAAACCCGGCCCGCCTTCGCGCCCTCGAGTCGGCGGCGGGCGAGAGCGAGCCGGCGGCGGCGGCGGCCATGGCGCTCGCGCTGGCGGGGGACCCGGCGCAGCCCGCGCCCGCGGAGGACCACCCGGACGAGGAGATGGGCTTCACCATCGACATCAAGAGCTTCCTCAAGCCGGGCGAGAAGACGTACACGCAGCGCTGCCGCCTCTTCGTGGGGAACCTGCCCACCGACATCACCGAGGAGGACTTCAAGAGGCTCTTCGAGCGCTACGGCGAGCCCAGCGAGGTCTTCATCAACCGCGACCGCGGCTTCGGCTTCATCCGCCTGGTGAGTGTCGGGCCGCCCGCGCGAGGGGACGAACAAAGGAGCCGTCGGCGGGGCCGGGCCGGGGGCCCGGGCCCCCGAGTGGTCCTGCGGCCTGTGTCAGCCGCGGCGCCCGGGCCCTGCGTCCCCCCGGTGCGGGGCTGGCCGCTTTCCCGGCTCGGCGCCGTGGCGTTCCGTGTCGGGCGCGCGGCCCGCGGCCTCCTGCGCTTCCGCGTTGCCGGCGTTTCTGCTTTGCGGTGACTGCGGGCCTGCCGGCGCGCGCCCCTCTGCCCTGCCCGCGTGGTGGGGGCTGCGGGGTTCCCCTGCGCCCCCCACTGAGGTCGTGGGGAGGGAGGGGCGGCGTTCCGGGGCGAGAATTCTTCCAGGCAAGATTGTGTCGTAAAGGAAACAAATTGGGTTTGACTTTGGAACAGAAGCTACTGGACGTGAGGGACTGGATAGCAGACCTGCTTCTTAAATAATTATTCAGATCATCTCCTTCGTCTCAACCGGACTTGCGTGCGTTTAAGGCTCCACCGCTTCTCACCTCGGCGCAGCCCGCTATGTACCTTAAACTGCCAAGGTGCCCAAACTCTACTCGAGGAACACCAGTCTGCGGAATGGGACGGTGTTGAATTAAGTTTCTAATGTTTTGCCGCCCAGCCTTCTGGAGGTTTCCACGTTCTTCGATGATACTACTTAAATTCCTAATAATAGAATAATTATATATTTTACTCCCATTTAATCTAAATTTTTAAGTTTTCCAATACTTATTCAAAAACTCCATCTCCTTCGTATTTTTTAAAAATTTGAACAGTGAAGAGTTTACACTTACAGGACAAAATATCTACTTTTACTAGATTTTCCTGTGTGCTTTGTAGTGAATTCATCAGTGTCAGTTATACAACATTATTATATTTAGAAGCTGGATTTTTTTTCAAAGTATCTTTTTTTAGTGGAAGACATTTTTATGCAATAAGTTATTTTTTTGGTTGTCTTTTTAGTTTAGATCCTCAAATCTGATACTCGTTGCAGTTTGTGAAAACTTTCTTACTGGAACTTTCAAAATCGGGTTCTTTGTGGACAATGCAAAATCTTAATGTGTAGGGAAAATTGATTGTAATTAAACGATAAATGTATTTTTTAGTTTTTACAGATAATACAAAAGAGAAAAGTAAATAGGAAAGGAGATTTGTCTGGCAATGGGAGGTGGAATGTTAAGATATAAATATCAGAAACATGGAAAGTTTAGAGAATTTTTTCAATAGTAGTTTCTGGTAACTGGCACTTGTTCTCAAAAAGTAGTATGTCTTTTACTATATTAGATTTTAATACAGTTGATTTGAATATTGAACAGCTGGTAACTTGTTTATGAGCATTTAATCATTAGGTGATGACTTTTAACAAAAATAGGGTTGGGACTTTTTATTTTTGTTTAAAATGATCTTGAATAGTTAATAAAAACCTTGTTGTACCAAAGTTAAAAGATACAAAACCAAAGTGATCCTATCAGCTATTTTCTAAAAGTATCCAGTTTTCCCTAGAATCAAATCACTGTTGTAAATTTTTTGTGTTACCATTATCTTTAAAAACTGGTTTTTCTTCTTAAAAAGGAATCCAGAACCCTGGCTGAAATTGCAAAAGCAGAGCTGGATGGCACCATTTTGAAGAGCAGACCTCTCCGAATTCGTTTTGCTACACATGGAGCAGCTCTAACTGTAAAGAACCTTTCTCCGGTTGTTTCCAATGAGCTTCTAGAGCAAGCATTTTCCCAGTTTGGCCCAGTAGAGAAAGCTGTTGTGGTTGTGGATGATCGTGGTAGAGCTACAGGAAAAGGTTTTGTAGAATTTGCAGCAAAACCTCCTGCTCGAAAGGCTCTTGAAAGATGTGGTGATGGGGCATTCCTGCTAACAACGTAAGTTTTAAATATCTTGTCCTTCTTCTATCCAGTTACTTGTGGGCTTCTTTCTGTCCTGGAATTCTGTCTTTGTTTGCAATTCATATTGATATATGTTAAGTAGGTGTTGAGTAATCTTCAATGAATATAAATAAGGAAATTTTCTGTACTGATAGGAATCAGAAGTTACGTACTTTCTTTAAACATCAGTGTACTGTTTCATAGTTGGATCTCAGGAATATTTTATATTATGATTTTCATTTAGCTTACTGAATGTCTATATGCAAAGCAAAATCTTATTAACTTAAAGTAACTCTTTAAGAAATTTTGGTCAACTTTATAGAGGCATAATTTACATATATTAAAAAGCATCTTAGCCGGGCGCAGTGGCTCACGCCTGTAATCCTAGCACTTTGGGAGGCTGAGGCGGGCGGATTGCTCAAGGTCAGGAGTTCGAAACCAGCCTGAGCAAGAGCGAGACCCCGTCTCTACTATAAATAAAAAGAAATTAATTGGCCACTAATATATATATATAAAATTAGCCAGGCATGGTGGCGCATGCCTGTAGTCCCAGCTACTCGGAGTGAGGCAGGAGGATTGCTTGAGCCCAGGAGTTTGAGGTTGCTGTGAGCTAGGCTGATGCCACGGCACTCACTCTAGCCTGGGCAACAAGCGAGACTCTGTCTCAAAAAAAAAAAAAAAAAAAGCATCTTGGGGCCTGGCTTGGTGGCTCACCCCTGTAATCCTAGCACTCTGGGAGGCCAAGGTGGGTGGATTGCTTGAGGTCAGGAGTTCGAAACTAGCCTGAGTAAGAGTGAGACTCTGTCTCTACTAAAAATAGAAAGAAATTAATTGGCCAACTCTAATATATATAGAAAAAATTAGCCAGGCATGGTTGCATGAGCCTGTAGTCCCAGCTACTTGGGAGGCTGAGGCAGGAGGATGGCTTGGGCTCAGGAGTTTGAGGTTGCTGTGAGCTAGGCTGACGCCATGTCACTCACTCTAGCCTGGGCAACAAAGTGAGACCCTGTCTCAAAAAAAAAAAAAATGAAATCATATAGTATGTACTCTTCCATGTCGAGCTTTTCTTGCTTAGCATAATGTTGATGACATTCCATTCATATGGTGTATTCAGTATTTTGTTGCTTTTTATGGCTAACTCATTTTTCATTGTATGAACATAACAATAGTTTGTCCAGTGATATGTGGGTGGAAGTTTGAATTGTGTCTAAGTATTGGCCATTGTGAGTAAAGCTACTGTGAACATTTATCTACAAGGCTTCTTGTGAACATTATGCTTTCAAGTGACTTGGGTAAATATTTAGAGGTAAATTGCTGTATGTTCAGCTCTCTAAGAAACTGCCAAAGTGTTTTCCAAAGTGGTTGTATCACTTAACATTCCCATAGCAATGAATGAGAGGCTTCTTGTTGCTCCATAAAATAACACTTGGTGTTTTTAGTATATTAGATACTATAGTTGGTGTAGGGGAATCTCATTGTGGTGTAAATTTTATTTTCCTGATGACTAGTGGTAAGCATATTTTCATGTGCATTTTGGCCAATTATATATTTTTTGTCTAAAGTTTTTTGCCCATTTAATTGAGTGGTTTGTCTTCTTACTGAATTATTAAATCTAGGTACATGTCTGTATTATGAATATTTCTTCTAGTCTGTGGCTTGCTTTTTAATTCTCATCATAGTGACCTTCAAAGAGCAGAGGTTTTTATATTTTGTGAAGTCCAGTTGTGATCAATTTTTTTATGGTTTGTGCTTTATATGCCCTTATGTGTTGTTTGCCTATCCTAAGATTGCAAAGCTTTTCTCATGTTTTCTTTAAAAATTTATAGCTTTTATATTTATACCTATCATATATTTTGAATATGATGTGAATTAAGAATTCCTTTTTCTTCATGTAGATCTCCAGTTGTTTCAGCACTTTTTTTTTTTTTTTTTAGATTACACAAAGCAATTGCATGTTTCAGCACTATTAATTGAAAAGATTATGATTTCCCCCTTTGTTACCTTTGCACCTTTGTCATAAATTTGGGGAAAAAACTCTACACTCTCATTTCATTAATTGGTATGTCTATTCCCAAACTGCACTTACATAATTACCTGATTTATCATAAGTTTTGAAATCAGGTAGTATAAATCATCCAACTGTCTTCAAAATTTTTTTGACTAGTTAGGCTCTTTGAATTTCCTTATCGTGTGGTGCTGTCAGATATTGGTTGAGATCATTCAGATATTGTTTAGGGTATTGAAATAAAAAAATTTGTTTTCTGGCCCCATGGAGCTTAGTTTGGTGATTTGTAAAACCTTTTTCATTTGTTTTTAACTCTTAAGCATTCATACTAAAACTGAACTCAAGCTACATCTGCTGTTTTACAACGTAGCCAACTTTTTTCACTTTGGTCTTGTTACTTGTGCTGAGAGAATGCTCTCTCTCCAGATTGTTGAAAGTTTTTTCCATTTTATTCACACTTTGTTAAAAATGTTATCTTCTCCAAAAGTTGACTATTCTATCTTAAAATAGCCATCCTCTCTGCATTGTCACTGATGACTTATTCCCTAATTTAGTTTTCTTCCTAGCACTTACTGTTTTAATTCATATGTCTTTCTCTGCAAGTAGAATGTAAGCTCCATGAGGTCAGGGATTTATCTTGTTCAATAATATAATTTCAGCACCTGTCTTCTAATAATCCTTTGCCACACTGTATACTTGTGATAATTATTTCATGAAGAAACTAAACTAATAGTCAAGGCATGTGATTATTTATGTGATTATTTTTTTACATTGAAAGCTTTGATTAATTGGTGGTGGTTATATTGTGGGGGGAAAATTGGTGTTTTTTAAAGTCATAGCTAGGCTTGGTAAATATTTAACCATTTCTTATAGGTGGTTTTAAATAATTTAAAGACAATTTTTTTTTTTTTTTTTTTGAGACAGAGTCTCTTTGTTGCCCAGGCTAGAGTTGAGTGCCATGGCATCAGCCTAGCTCGCAGCAACCTCAAACTCCTGGGCTCAAGCTTGGACTACAGGCATGTGCCACCATGCCCGGCTAATTTTTCTATATATATATTAGTTGGCCAATTGATTTTTTCCTATTTATAGTAGAGATGGGGTTTTGCTCTTGCTTCATGCTGGTTTCGAACTCCTGACCTCGAGCAGTCCTCCCGCCTCAGCCTCCCAGAGTGCTAGGATTACAGGCGTGAGCCACCGTGCCCAGCCTAAAGACAATTTTGAAGGAATGCACAAATCATGTTCTCTTGGATTTCTGCAGCAAATTTGGTTATTATTTGTTCCATTTTTCAGATGCGAAAATTGCCTCAGAGATGTTACTTGCTTATGGTTGTACGGCTATTAAGTTGTAGTAAGTTGCATTAGTTGTAATAGTTTAGCATGATGCCAAATTCCTTGCTTTTTTTGTTGTGGTCTCAGTGGAATGGTTTATTAGCCAGCAGACTCTCCTTGCTCAGGAACTTTGTTGCTTGTTAGATAAACTTGCTCATGGAACTCCAGGTGTTCTTTTCCCTGCTGTTATGCATAGTCATCCCAGCTGAAATGTTACCTCATGGAGAGAATTTCCCTGATGGCCTTATCTCAAGTGGATTCCCTCTGTTATTCTCTATGATAGCATTCTGTTTTTTTCCCTTCCTATCACTTAGGCTGGCTATTTTATTGTTTACCCACATATTTTTTTGTTTCTCTTAATTTATTCTATTTTTGGTAGAGATGAGATCTCACTTTTGCTCAGGCTGGTCTCAAACTCTTGACTCTAAGCAATCTTCCTGCCTCGGCCTCCCAGAGTGCTAGGATTATAGGCGTGAGCCACCGCGCCCGGCTAAATGTAACTGTTTTGTATAATCAAAATTTCTCTTGAAAATACAGTTGACCCTTGCATCAACACTGGCTTGAACTGCGAGGGTCTACTTTTAAGAGTTTTTCCAGAGACAGTTTTACCGAGTGTGCCTGCCTCTTCTACTTCCCTGCCTCTTCTGCCTCTGTCACCCCTGAGACAGCAAGACCAACTTCTCTTCTTCATCCTCCTCAGCCTCCTCAACGTGAAGATGATGAAGATGAAGACCTTTCTGTTGACCTGCTTCCATTTAATGAATAACAAATACACTTTTTCTTTTTTATGATTTTATTAATAACATTTTCTTTTCTATAGCTTACTTTATTGTAAGAATACAGCATAAAATACATATTAACATAACAAAATATGTGCCAGTCAACTGTTTGTGTTTTTTTTTTTTGAGACAGAGTCTCACTTTGTTGCCCAGGCTAGAGTGAGTGTGGGGGTTGGCTCAACCAAATTGGTGGTCCTTCTCAGCTAGTAATGGTAGATGGCACCATGCCCGGCTAATTTTTTTATATATATATCAGTTGGCCAATTAATTTCTTTCTATTTATAGTAGAGACGGGTCTTGCTCTTGCTCAGGCTGGTTTTGAACTCCTGACCTTGAGCAATCCGCCCGTCTCAGCCTCCCAAGAGCTAGGATTACAGGCGTGAGCCACTGCACCCGGCCCCAGTCAACTGTTTGTTATTGGTAAGGCTCCTGGTCAACAGTAGGCTGTTAGTTTAAATTTAGGGGAGTCAAAAGTGATAAGTGGATTTTTGACTGTGCAGGAGGTTGATGCCTCTAACCTCTGTGTTGTTTGAAGGTCAAGTTGCTGTAAAATGCTGTATACTCTACGTGGTTTTGAGTAAATAGCGTTATACAGTATGTATTATGAACATAATATGCAAAAGTGTGTGTAAATTACATTTTTATGCTATTTTGACATTAAAAAAGAGGCAGACAAATGGGAAAGAATAGGAAAATTGAACTTTCCTCTATGATGACAATGCTATACCCACATCTTTAAACATTAGAATCACACTAGAGCATTAGAAATGCTCACACTCTAGAGCTACATAGAAATTGCGTAGGCATAATGATAAGCATTCACATAGTGAAATTATTTTCTCTCTAGCTGCAGCTGCTTTTTTTTTCTTTCAAAGATTATTATT